TAAGTATTTCTAAGTTTGTTATTTACTACAAGTGTGGTCTTTTAATGTTTTATCGCATAATTTATAAAGTTATTTCACCTTTTTTCTCGCAATTGAAATTCTATCGTATGGCTGTGTGATGTACATACGAGACGAAATAGACTTATACAAAGTGTCTAATAGATATAAATTAGATATGATAAAATATTTTATTTGAAAAATATATATATAATACTATATATCTAATTGGAAAAAAATATTATATGCTTTCTCTATTTTTATTTTTATGTAATTAATACAAAATAAATAAATAAGTTAATTAATTATTCAATACATACATATACATATTAAATATAATTATCTTTATTTTATATTTTATATAATGACCGAATTGATATATACTCTCATTATTTCAGCCATTATCATATAAAATACAAAATAGGGATAACTATTTATTCAATATATGTGTATACGTATATATTAATTAATTGATTAATTAGCTATTTTGTATTTATTACATAAGGATAAAAATAAGAAAAATATATGACATTTTTCTTCAGTGATATATATAGTATTATATGTATATTTTTAATTTATTATTTTGTCATATTTAATTCATATTTATTTGACACCTTGTATACGCCTATGTTTTCTCGGACATTATATTGCAGCCTTGCGACGAAATTTTAGTCGAGGAAACAAGCGCAAGCATCGTTTGTTTACAAACTATCCGATCACACGTACACAGACCACACGTCAGTGTAGTGAGTTACCACTACAAACAAATGCGTACACACGGACCTACGCGGCATAGGTCCGTAGGCTACGCCGATAATGTCATTTTTTTTAGTACCATCGAAATGATGGCGCTTTCGCGTCGGAGTTCGGCTTCCACTCCAGCATCCTCTTAATAACCATGCCAGCCACAACCATGGGGGCCAGATTAGAGGTAGCAGCTAGATTTTCCCCAGAAACAAGCAGGACTGTATCATCCGCATATCCAATTAAACTACAGCCCAACGGAAGGGCCAGATTGAGCACACTATTGTAACCAATATTCCACAGAGTCGGCCTAAGGACCGAACCCTGCGGAACACCGCAAAACACTCCGCCTACGTATAGCGCCCCCAGAGTCCATATAAACTAAGCTCCTGTCAGACAGGTATGCAGAGATAACAGCACACAAATACCCAGGGAACTCCATGGAGACCATGGCCGCGAACGAATCACTCTCCACGGTAAGGAATTAAAAGCATTTTTAATATCAAAAGCTACTGCAATAACTATTTTACCCTCTTTAATACAGTTACAGACTATTTCCCTGAGTTTTAAGATAGCATCTAGGGTTGACCGCCCTTCTCTGAAACCAAACTGATTCTCAGAGAGAAAGCCGGACAACCCCAGATGGTCATTAAACCTTGATAAAATGATCCTTTTAAGTAGTTTAGACGATTCATCTAGAAGGCAAATCGGTTTATATATTCCCGGATCAGAATACTCACCCTCCTTTTTTTTTAATTAAAACCAGTTTTGCTGTTTTTCAAACAGAAGGGAAAACACCTTTACGAAGGCAAGCATTAAAACACATTCGCCAAATCTCCATGAAGCTCCTCGAGCTACCGGCAACAATCCTCTCCAGAACCCCGTCCGGTCCGGGGGCTTTTCTATTACCACGCAGCTTTTTAAACGCCCTCTGTAATTCCGCCAAACTAAGAGAGAGATCTTCATGCCATACAAAATGATACTCATAAGACTCACGTTCGTTAATATCATCCGGAAAAAGAGTATCGATAATATTCATAATCGTAGAGTGAGACAGCACCTCGCAGACAGAGTGAGAAACCAGTTTTAGTTTTTTGAGTACTATTTTGTAAGGTAGACTCCAAGGATCGTCATTTAATTTATTCAGTAACTCATTCCACGCTCTATTCTTAGCTTTAATAATACATATTCTATAGTTACGAAAACAAATTCTATAATCTCTATATTTACTATTTGTCATAATATTATTACCTTTTCTCCTTGTTCTGAAGAGAGTACGTCGCGCTCTCATAACTAATCTGCGAGATGCCGCCACCTCCTCACACCACCAGTAGGAAGACTCTCTACTGAATCCTCTACTCCGTGGCATAGACAGATCAGAGATCTCTCTCACGGATTCACACAGCCACCGGACCATCGTGCTCGCAGAGGTTTCATCCGAATGGTTAGACGGCCAAGCAAGACCAATAGAACCAGCCAACAACATATCCGTATTCAGTTTATTATAATTCTATCCGGGGAGTTTACTATTAATAACATAGAATTTTCTCCTAGAACAGGATGGTCCCATAACCAATCGAATCAACCTATGGTCGGATAGGGTAACAGACTGAGTATCTATAATACAGTCACTCACCAGATTCCTAGCCGCTGGATTAGCAAGGGCTAAATCAACCACTGATTCACCCTGCCATCTCACACAGGTATTAACAAAATTATTATTTAAAATAAAAAGGTTTGCTTTCTCCATCCAATTTCTGAGTAGAATACCTCGCTTATTAGTACGTCTTGGATCCCAATCACTATGTCTTGCATTAAAATCGCCAATCACAAAGATCGGGCAATGTTTATACTTAATAATGACGAGCAAGATCTCATCCAAAAATTCATTAAAGACGTGATCCGAGATGTTCCGAGTGTAGTAGCAGCTAAGAATTATGACCAAGTTCCACTTAACCGTGCAGAAACCATGACCACGCTCCAAAGACCGCATCGGAAGAAACGAGCCAGTGACCCTTCTCCAGCAAATAGCAGCCGTCGGAGGATAATCAGAAGAATGCACCCATCAGAAGAATGTCATCGCCATACGGAACCGAATGAGGCTCGGCCATAAGCGCAAGTCCAGCTCCAAACTCGTGCATAAGATGGCACAAATTGTTCTGCGCTAATTTGGAATGGTTTATATTACAGGCTAATAATAAAGTCACCATTATAAATCCATGTCCATTTTAAAGGCAGAGATCTCCGCGGTTTCTTGAGGCCTCCGATCCTCATTGGACACACTAGCTGACAAGGTAGGAATAATCAAACGCCCATTATTATTATCTTTATATACAGAGTAATTTCTTATATCTATAATTTTTCCAGGGGGAATTGGCTTGCATGCTATAGAACCTGCCACGTGGTCAGCCCTGAGACCTCTATCTAAGCAAACCGGGCATCTAATCTTGTTCTTACATACAGAGGCTTTATGGTCAAGATCTCCACACTTGTAGCAACAGAATCTTCTATCTTTACTTTCAGGGCATCGCTGAAGCGTGTGTTTAACCGCAAGACAACGAAAACATTGTAGCGGTTTGGGGTCAATTGGTTCCACTCTTGCTGTCGTCCATCCTATACTGATTTTACCAGTCTCCAAAATACACACCGCAGCAGAGATTGGGCATTGTATATACGCAACGCCCAAGCCCTCACGTACAAATCGTACCGGGCTACAGGATATATCAGCAAACAAACAACCACCTATATTTGCAAGAATTTTGCCAATTTCCGAGGTCGACATAGAATCATCTAACCCCGTAAGTCTCAACTGTGATTTTTTAGTTGGTTTTCGAAATTTAACCCCATATATGTCTTTAAGGGGTAAAGCCACTCTAGAATTTTCAAAAAATGGATTTTTTTTTTGCGTTTAAATGATGCGTTAGAGTCTTAAAAATGATGTACATTTAGTCCCGTAGCGCTAAAGGAATTTTAAGTATCTGTTTTCAAACCGAAACTGCCGCTCTATGGCGCGTCATCGCTCGATCGATAACCCGATGTGTGGAGCGTTCCGAGTTTCTACCTATTTAAAGTCTTACGGGATAATGAAAAGGAAAGTTTTTAGGGTACCTATAGAATGCCTGTAGAGTGTCTGCCGCTCTCAGATTTCTTTTTGATATTAGTGAAGGTTAGAAAACCGTTGAGAAAACAGTGCTCGACAGTGAACTCTTGTAAATTTTTCGCTAATTTTAAATTGATTTGTAGTTTTAGTGAAGTTTAGTAATATTTAATAATGAGTACTCCTGTGCATCCTGGAAAAAAAGGAACGAAGCAAAGTAGCGGATATATGAAAAGGAGAACGAATTCCAGAAAACGACCGTTGAACCGCTATGAATTGGAGACGCCAGAGCTGGAGAGCGTCAGCACATCTGCGAGAAAATTAAAGCAGGCAGAAAAATCAAATAAGGAAGTTGAAGTAGATGAAGCATTTGGCTATCGACTGATAAATTTTGTAGCAGTTTTTAATATTCTGTCTAATGTTTTAGTGTGCAAAACATGTAAATCAAACATAAAATTTACCGAAAGTGGGAGACGTGGTTTAGGTTTTAAAATTGTACTTTCTTGTGATAATTGTGAACAAATTATTATTCCTAATTGTCCATTCGTAGACAAATCATATGAACTAAATCGTAGAATGATTTTAGCAATGCGATTATTAGGAATCGAACTACATGGAATAGAAAAGTTTTGTGCATTTATGGATCTCCCTCGACCGATTTTTCATTCTTTTTATGATAAACTTATTCACACAATTTGTAATGCAACGGAAGCTGTTTGCAAAAATAGCATGCGTAAAGCTGCACAAGAAGAGAATGAAAAATATATTGAAAGCGGACAAACGAATGGTATTACGGTTTCAGGCGATGGATCGTGGAGAAAGCGCGGTTTTTCGTCTCTGTTCGGATTGGTGACAGTTATTGGTTTGTTTACCAGCAAAGTGCTTGATATTGTTGTGAAATCAAAATACTGCAAATCTTGTGAATTTTGGGAAAAAAAGAGTGACACTGAAGAATATGTAGAGTGGTTGGAAACACATAGAAGCCAATGTCAATCGAATCACCAAGGCTCGGCGGGGAAAATGGAAGTCGATGCTGTTATACAAATGTTTCAACGATCGGAAATTGTAAATAATATTAAATATATTAACTATGTAGGAGATGGGGATTCAAAGACTTTTAAAGCTCTTTTCGACGCACAGACTGCTGAAAATAAGGAAGTTTTTAAAAAAGAATGTATCGATCACGTCCAGAAGCGAATGGGTACACATCTTCGAAATGTAAAAAAAAATACAAAAGGTCTTGGCGGAAAGGGAAAATTAACTGGCAAACTTATGGATGAACTATCCATTTATTATGGATTAGCAATACGCCGGAATCATGATTCAGTGCAGAAAATGAGAGATGCAATCTGGGGAACACTGTATCACAAGCTATCGACAGACGAAAAACCGCAGCACGACAAATGCCCGTCCGGAGAAGATTCGTGGTGCTCGTGGCAAAAGGCTAAGGCTGAAAATAAGTTGCATGAATACAAACATAAGCCAGCCCTTCCTGACGAAGTTTTTGAAGCCATTAAGCCTATTTATGAAAAACTGAGCAGTGATGATCTGCTTGAGCGATGCATCGGCGGTTTTACACAAAATAGCAACGAAAGTTTCAACGCTCTCGTATGGTCGATGGCTCCAAAAGCTGTTTCCAGCGGCAAAATTGTGCTTGACACAGTTGCAAATTTAGCTGTGTGCACATACAATGACGGAATATCAAGTATAATGCAAGTTATGAAACTCCTAGGCTTGACTATTGGACATAACTGTTATAATTACTGCTTGGAGACCGATGCTCGCCGTATTAAGTTTTCGGAGCTTTCATTGTCTGATGCTGCGAAAGAGGCCAGGACATCATTAAAATCAGCCAGGAAAGATGCAGAGCACGAGGATTTTGATATGGAAGGTGAAATCTACGGTGCAGGCATTGCCGACTAGAGGTATATAAAAAAATTTATTACGTTTTTAGTACTTAAAACTTTAAACGCGTTTTTCTCGAAACAATGTTTTTCAAATTGGCCGGAAACATAACTCGAAAAGTTTTTGACCGATTTATTTCAAATTTGCACAGTAGCATCGTAATTAGATTCTGCAGAGACCGACGTAGGGGTTTTTTGATATTTTGTCAACTTCTTTTGTTATAAACAATTTACAGTGAAATTTTTTACCGAAAAATGGATCTTTTTTTTCAAATAAGCACTACTTATTCAAAATTCAATATTTTCAAAATCCCCTACGTCAGTCTCTAGTCAATTATATATAGTTTTAAAAAAATTTTTGTTTTTTGTTCTAGATTAAAAATTGTGGGAGTAACCTTTCCGGCCGTGAAGCCCCTTCGGCGAGAAGAGGCCTCGAATTTTTTATAATATAGTCGCCATTTTGTGTTAAATATTAATAAAGAATTTTTTTTATATACTTCGAAACATGTATAATAAACTCCTATAAATAGATTTCCCATTTTCTTTATTGTATTTCCGTTAAAATTATCAAAAAAACGTCTTTTTTTCGAGCTCTAGAGTGGCTTTACCCCTTAAATGTTCGTTGCAGACTAGTCAACAATAAATCCGCCTTAGTATCCGAGTCTTCTCCCGGAATCTCAATCAAGATGCCACCCATGATAGATCTCTTAATTTTAGTATCAGTTATACCTAAATCTATTAAAGAAATCTTTTCACGAGCCATTTTCAAAACCTCTGCATATGTTAAATTAGTGTTTTTAATCGAAATTGATATCTCAGATGTACGTGGCACTTTTTTCTTAAGGTTAGCCAGTTTATCCTTGAAACCACCAGCAGGTTTGGTTTTACTATTATAGTTATTACTAGAATTAATATTTTTATTATTAACACTATTGTTTCTATTAGAATTATTCTCAGTATATTTATATCTTTTATCATTATTGAATTCAAACTCAAGATTTGCATCTGATAATGCATTGACCTTAATAAGAGTGGACTTTAGACCCGACTTCTTTCTTTTTTTTTTATCTTTTTTATTACCAACAACAGACCACTCATTTCTTTATTATTATTTATTTCAACAAAATTCTCGAGTATTTCGTCTTTACTCATACTATTAATGTCAGTGGTGTTATTTACATAATGATTATTTTTCTTATTAACTAAATTATTTTTTCTGTTTTTATTTGCAGGTTTATTCCAAGGATCAACCGGAGCCACTTCACATTCCATCACACCATCTTTAAAATCTTTTTTAAACAATGTTTTAGGCATTTCAGAACCACCAGACGGCATCTTGGAACCCAAGGATCTTACGTAAGTATTTTCTTCACTGAAATTGCAATTTGTCTTACTATTATTACTTAATTTCTTATTCTTACCTTTTTTCTTTGCAGAGACGGCTGAGGATGTTCCAGGGGGACATACAACGTCAGATTTCACAACACTTGAGTTAAGGTCTTCTCGGAGGAGCCTCGTTTCCTGGATCAATTGCATCATCCCCTCGCACAGCCTATCCAAGAAACGAATGATCGCCAGGTCCAGTTTTACTCTATCTTGAGGTTCACATTGTGTAACACTTTCACTGTGTTTTGACCTTTTCTTAGTAGAAACTATTTTGCCCTCAATATTTATGTTTTCCAGAGATTCCCTCAGATTTGATTTTACAGGGGGAGTCGGAGCCATCCTGGTAGCATATCTGTGTGTTTTATCATCTGCCTTCAAAGGTAAGTCACTAACTGTCATTTCTAAGTCATATGAGTTTTTAATTTTTTTTTTTGTTTTTCCGAGATAAGAAAATCTTCTAAAGACACCCTGGCCCGGTCCAGGGTAGTGCTGGATTCGACCGAGACTTGCATCAGGATACTCCGGACATGACCGATAAAGGGCCCCTCCCCCTCCAGCCTGACCCAGATCCAACACCCCCCAGGGCGATGAGTGAGTGTCCGATACTCGGGAAAGGACATAAGGAATCGAGGCCACCAACCATGACAGGACCCGACAGCGCATCTCGACCGCCTACCAGCTAAAAACTCACCTCATGCCTTTCAGGCTCCTACATGAGGGAGAGACAGGCTGACTAACTAGAGCATATCACTGTCTCTCCCCCAGGATTACCTTCTATGGAAGGTTCTAACCAATTAGCGGGAAACTACTGATAAGTAAGTAATGCGACGCAACAACTAACCTAAACCTAAACAATATATACACTTAATAGTAATAATAATAATAATAATAATAACTATACTTTCTATTGACGCAGCACCAGTGTCCCGCACGCTCTTGTATATGTATATGTATAATAAATAAATAAATACATACACCCGCACTGGCACCCGAGCTGCCCTTTACAATGTAATGTGGTAAGTATAACCTATGTTCTGATATTGACCTATGGACTAATTCCGTTTGGTAAGTATGTATATAGACGCAGTTGCTAAGTTTAAATTTAAGAAATTAAAATTAAGAAAGACCATCCTATTCTGAGGTTTCAGAGTCCAGATGCTCGAACACCTGAGCCCTGTTCGCCGCCTGTCTCTCCCTTTCTGCCGCCTCTTTACAGGTCAATACCCGTGTGCAGAAGGTCGAGAAGGCCCTCCATTTGTCTACACTATCCAGAATAGAGTCTATTATAGTCTGGATAATCCGCGTCAGTTCGTCTCTCTCAGCGTCCCAGGAACTGCAGGATTCGAGGGTATGCTGCGCTGTATCGATCTCATCGAGACAATGATGACAATACTCGGAGTCCGCTCTACCAATTCTGTGCAAAAATTCGCTGAAACATCCGTGTCCCGTTAAGAATTGGGTCATGTGGTACGTAATCCACCCGTGTCTTCTGTTTACCCAATCATACAACCTATTTACAAGCGCGTTGCGTAGTCTATAACTTGGGTGATTGTCGTTTCTGTCTAACAAACTAAACCTCTAATCCCGCAGTGCCTGATCTCTCACTTCGAGCTGCCATCTTACCCTAACATCAGGGGAAATCACTGTTCCCTCATCGATGGAAACTCTCAATCGGGAATACACAGCCGCCAGTCGTTAGGCCTGATATTCTAACGGTGGGGTCCTTGATAACATGGACGCCGCCACAAAGGAGACCGTGCGGTAAGCGCAGCAGACTCGTTGAGTAATTCTCCTTATTAAGCCTGTCATTAAAGTTCTCGCCTTTTTGTTTTCCCGAAAAGAATCCGCCCACACAGGAGCGCCGTACAAAATCATTGAGAGGACTACGTTTAAATACAGCTTTCTCTTCTTTTCGTTTGGGCCCTTGCAGTTGGGCATGATTCCCCTGAGATAATTAACAGTCCTATTCACCTTATTGTATAGTTTTTCAAAATGTTGCGTGAATCTCCAGTCTCCGTCCAAAAGAACACCTAGATATTTTACTGTTCGCGCTATAACAACCTCTTTATTTTTAACTATCAATTTATGGGAACCATGTCCAACTGCACAGGCGGGGAAGGCCATCGCCTCCGTCTTGTGCGGCGAAATCTCGAGACCCAGCCTCTTGATCTCCCCTACAACTATACCAGCCGCGACCATCGCCTTGTGAGACGCCGCGCTTAAATTCTCCCCCGAGGCGAGTAGGATAGTGTCGTCCGCGTAGCCAATCAGACTGCAGCCAGCCAGAAGAGCAAGGCCCAGCACGCTATTGTAACCGATGTTCCACAGGGTCGGTCCGAGGACCGAACCCTGCGGGACACCGCAAAAGACCCCTCGGCTCCGCTTACCGCCCTCCGAGTCGGTGTACACCAAATTTCTTTCGGACAAATACTCGCCGACGATCCTGCAAAGGTAACCCGGGAACTCCATGGAGATCATGGCCGAGCGAATAACCCTCCACGGAAGCGTGTTGAAGGCGTTTTTTATGTCAAACGCGACCGCGACGATGATTCCATCCGTCTCACATTCCTCATGCACGATGCGCCTCAACCTCAGGATCGCGTCCATAGTCGATCGACCTCCCCCTGAAGCCGAACTGGTTGTCGGAGAGGCTACCGGACAATTCCAGATGATCGTTTATTCTCGACACAATGACTCTTTCGAACAGTTTGGAAGACTCGTCTAGGAGGCAGATTGGCCTGTAAATTCCGGAGTCGGAAGGATTCCCCTCCTTTTTTTTATTAGGACCAACTTTGAAGTCTTCCAAACTGTCGGAAAGACGCCCTCTCCGAGACACGCACTGAAGCATGACCTCCAGATCTCCATGGAGTACGCCGCAGTGCTCGCGACGATTCCCCCCAAGATCCCATCCGGACCGGGGGCCTTCTTGTTGCCGTGCAACTTTTTAAACGCCCGCCGGATCTCCGGCATCGTCACGGCGAGATCCGCGTGCCACGCACATCGGAGGTGGGAGCCAGTAAGGTCGCGCTCCCATCTATTATCCGGGAATAAAGTTCTAACGTTATTTTCTATTTCAGCGTGTGGAAACGTCTCGCAGATCGAGTGTGAGGCAGGCCTAATCTTCTTCAACACGATCTTGTACGGAAGGCACCACGGATCTTCGTTCAACTTGTTAAGTAAGTCATTCCATGCTTTATTTTTAGCTTTAATAATGTTTGTTCTGTAATTTTGAAGACAGGTTCTATATTCCCTGTATTTAACATTTGTAGCATCGGCATTACGTCGTTTTCTAGTACGAGAGAGAGCGCGACGCGTCCTCATTACCGCTCTACGAGATGTCGCCACCTCCTCACACCACCAGTACAAAGACTCTCTATTATACCCGCTACTTCGTGGCATAGATAGATCGGAGATATCTCTCAATGAGTCGCGCAACCACTCGACATATGTTCGTGCCGGAGCTGTGTCCGAAAGGCCACAGGACCAGGCCACGCTAATGGAACCCGCTACTAATAAGTCTGAGTTTAATTTGTTGTAATTCCATCTAGGGAATCTCCTATTGATAATTCTAGATTTATCCCTAGCGCGACACGATCCCACGACCAATCGGATCATTCTGTGATCCGACAGAGTGGGTATCTCAGTCTCTATCGTGCAGCTTTTCAGTCTCTTTTTTGCCGACGTATTAGCGAGGACTAAATCTATAACAGATTCGCCCTGCCATCTTACACAGGTATGTATAAATTTATTGTTTATTATTTGAAGATTCCCCTCCTTCATCCAATTTCTAAGTATATTACCCTGCAAATCCGTCTTTTTCGGATCCCAGTTCGCGTGTCTGGCGTTAAAGTCCCCCAAGATCAAAATCGGGCAGTGTTTATATTTATTGATAGTGGTTGACATATCCTCAAGAAGTCCCTTGAAATTTCGATCCGGGATATTACGCGAAGAGTAGCAGCTAAAGATTACTATAGAATTCCATCTGATGACGCAAAAACCCCGCCCGCGCTTTACTGTGTTCATAGGCATAAACAGACCCCTGACTCTACGCCAAAGGACAGCGGAGGAAGGAGGAGGATCTTCCACTGAGTACACCCACCTGTCATCGTCTGTCGGGACTGAGTGCGGCTCCGTTATGCCAGCATTATGCTCGTGCATAAGGTGGCATAGGTTGTCCTGCGCTGGTTTCGAGTGATTAACATTACAAATTAAAATAGTTGCCATTACATTTTTGTATTCATTCCACAGGTGGAGGCCACCGCATCCTGAGGTCTCCGTCCCTCGGTGTTCATTTCCAGTAAGGTAGGGGTAAGTAAGCGTACATTATTAGTATCTTTATTTACATAAGTCTTATTATCTAATATCTTTCCAGGTAGAATGGGTTTGCACGCCATCGTACCCGCCAAGTGATCGGCCCTCAGACCCCTATCGATGCAAACGGGACATTTAATTTTATTTCTGCATGCAGAGGCTTTATGGTCCTTATTTCCGCATTTATAGCAGCAGGCTCTCCTGTCTATAGCCTCCGAGCACCTCTGCAGTGTGTGTCCAACAGCCAGACACTTAAAACATTATAGTGGCTTCGGGTCGACTGGCTCCACTTTTACCGTTGTCCAGCCTATATTAATTCTTTCGGCTTCAAGAATGCTCACCGCAGCTGCTATTGGATATCGTGCATAAGCTATTCCCAGATCACCGCGGATAAATCTCACTGGGCTGCAAGAAACGCTGTCCAGCGAACATTTACCTATTTTCGCAAGTATTCTACAGATTTCTACTGTTGTTATAGATTCATCCATGCCCGTCAATTTGACCTGTGAGTTCTTTGTGGACTTTCTAAATTTCACACCATCTATGTCCTTAAATATCTGTTGCAGACTGGTCAATAACATGTCTGCCTTAAGATCAGAATCATCTCCGGGGATTTCTATCAAGACACCACCTGTTATTAATCTCTTAATTCTGGTATCACTTATGCCCAGATCCGATAAGGAAATTTTCTCCCGTGCTACTCTTAGAATTTCCGCGTATGTTATACCAGAGTCTTCGATTAAAATTGTTATTGCCGAGGTACGTGGCACTCTCTTTCTCAAATTTGACACTTTATCTTTAAAACTATTAGGGTATTTCATCTTACTATTGTTACTATTAGTATTATTATTATTATTCACATTACTAAAGTTATTATTTTTAGTATTATTACTTTGATTTCTTGTAGATTTATTCATTGTATGTTTATCCGAATCGTAATCAGGGTTAATATCGGATTGCGTACTATCTTTAAAAGAGGTGGATTTTAGACTCGACCTTTTTCTTTTGCGATTGATCTTTTTGTTACGCACGACCGACCACTCTACTTCATTATTATCTAGTTCGACAAAGTTATCCATTATCTCTTCTTCACTCATACTGTTAATATCCATACGATTATTATCTTTAACGTAGCTTTCTCTGTTCACTTTAATCGAAATTTTGTTTTTGTTTTCAGGTTTAACCCCAGGATCAGCCGAGGTCACTTCGCTTCTTTCAGCGTCTACCATGGAAAACTTAGGCATAGGACCAGCATTAATAGTCTTTCCAGGCGGTATCTTTGAGCCCAAGGACTGCGCATAACTCCTTTTGCCACCAGAATTATAGTTTCTCTTACTGCTATTTATTTTTCTATTCTTACCTTTTTTCCTTTTAGATGTAATCAAGGGAGGTCCCGGGCGAAGAAATCCATCTGTTTTGGCTCCGCCCGTGTTCAGATTTTCTCTGAGGAGGCGCGTTTCGTGGATGAGCTGCGTCATTCCCTCGGCCAGCTTGTCTAGGGAGCGGATAATCGCCCTATCCAGTTCGACTCTGCCCTGTGGTTCGCTACCTACATCACTAACACTGTACGTATCTTTCTTCTTATCAGGAATTAATTCACTTTCATTGTTTATGTTCTTTTTAAGGGAACTTCTCAATTTGGTGGTAGCGAGAAGGGCCGCAGCCAATCCGCTGTCTCCTCCGCCCATTCCACCATCTATCATCGCAGGTGAGTCATCAATGTTCAGGTCAAAATTATAGGAGTTTTTAATGATCTCTCTCCTTTTTGCTTCTTTGAGTTCCACCTTCAGTGCTTCAGCTTTAATCTTATTACTGTTAGCGGCTTTTTCCATCTCGTAAAAGCGGTTCCTCCAAAACTCCGGGTCCTTCTTGGAAGTGGCCTTCCTGGACAACAGGTCGCCTGTTCTGCAAATCACCTCCAGTAAGACTTTTATTTGGCCGCTGAAGGATCCACTGAGTCCCGTTGACCTCGTCCTCATGGAGTCAATTTGGTCCGCCGTTTCCCTGATTTTGATATTTAACTGGGTAGCATGTTCCAAATCTAAACCGGCCATTTCTTGATCGATCTTTTTCCTGCTGTCTACGGAGTAACGTACAGCGTATCTTTCTTCTTCAATTTCCTTGTTTTTAGAAGAGCCACGCTTCCTTCTTTTTCTACTCGTAGTGATAGTAGTAGCTTTAATTTTTTCCTTTTTTTTTTGTTTCAGAGAAGCAGAGGAGCCATCAGACACGGTCATTCCTCCGCCTCGGAATAATCCGTCCTACAGAGGGAAGCAAGACCACAAGAGTCTTCATCATCTGAAGCGATCACCACCGTCTCCAGAGCCCTAGAGGGTCCGACTTCACCTTCACCTCCGGTAGTCCTCCCGTGCCTTCTTATCGGTACCAATGTAATAGAGGCACCCAGCCGTTCCACACTGACGATAGCTGGTTGACTTTTCGCGCTCACCATAGACGCGGAGGCCAGCCCTTTGCATGATGACGACCCGTGGGAAACAGGGACAATATTCCCCACGTGCCGGTTCTCGGACGGCTATCCGACGCCGAGACGTTTATTTCCTTATTATTGTCCATGTCCATTTTGAATTGCGTGTTTTATTTGCAAGAGTTTCCTTCTTTTGTTGAGACCTGATATTTGGTTAATTGTTCCTGGTGTTTGTCCCACTTCTATTCATGTCAATAGACCCAAGGAACAATGTTCCATAGTACACAGACACTTAATACAGTTCAAAATATGAAGAAGTCAAATCAAAGTATATCAAAATAAATTTCATAGATATTCACAAGTTGCTATATCAAAGTATTCACAGTTGACCTTTGTCACTTACCTTTTAATTTGATCTATTCAAATAGGCACTCAGTAATATAATTCACTTCTCTTTGAATAGGGAACCAATCAAATTATTGTAATTAATAGAATAATTAACTCACTCTAATTGTCTGGTAAGTACAATATATAAATTGACCCTTATTTCAATGTCCTAGCTATTATATTATATTATCACTTGTTTAATATTATTTCTATTTTAGGTACAGAAAACTTTAAAAGGAGCCAAAACTCATTGTGGTGCAACAGTTTTGTAAGTTTCCACACACATTTAATATACAGTTCAGAGTGTGAAAAGTCAGAAATCAGAATAACTCTCCTAGGCATTTATAGAATGTTATATCAGAATAATCACACTATTCCATATCATTTACATTTTAATTTATCTATTCAAATAAGTGTTCAGTAACTAATTCACTTCTCTTTGGACGGTAAACCAATCAAGATTATTATGATAATTGATAACAATAGTTAACTCAATCTAATTGTTTAGTAGATGCAATATGTCAATTGACCTCTATTTCACTATCATAGATATTCTACTGTCACTTATTACTATGCTTTCAGTTTCAGATACAGACAGCTTTCAAAAGAGCCAATACTCATTGTGGAGCAGTAAAATTGTAAGTTTATTCATCTATTTGTTTATGTACCTGTCCTTATTAATCATTTATTTCTTTGTTTCAGAGGTATCCAGCAGATCATCAAGTCGGGTAAGGTAAAGGTAAGAAATTTCTCTTTTGGTCACCCAAACCACGTTATTTATTTATTTATTTGTTCATTGTTTAATTTATTTATTGTCTATACGAACCTTGTAGTAAAACCACTTTAAGTAAATAAATCCATATATCCAATCCCCATCAATTATTGGTGATTTTGTGACATCTCTATTAATAATATTAATTCATCGGTGAATTTCGAGTAATTAGCACTAATTATCTTATCCGCGTTAGGTTCACTCCAGTGCAGTGTACAATATTCACCACAGAACAATACCAGTATTCATAGACATTTATATATTTCTTCCAGATGTAGTACTAGACCTATATAGTAATACGCTCAATGCGCTTAGCACATAGACTGTATTTCACAAATGTACATTATCCATAATTAAACCCAATAATTCAGTATTATTCATGAACATTATATGACACCGTCCCAAATCTCAAATAATCACTAAGTCTTAATATTATTCAAAGGGCTTACAGAATTTACTTAATATAATATTATGGTCATTAGGCACGACACCATACCAACAATCCACAATGTTCTCACATTACATCATGCTGCATGGGCGTTACATAATTACACATACATAAATTCACATATATAGCTCAGAAGAATCCGATCAATATAACTTTCCGCTATAGTTCTTAAAATAGAAGTAGTAGAGTGCAGGCTCCATTATTCGTGTAAAACTATGATAATTTTTACAATTACCTGTTATTTATTATGTGTAAGGCACAAAAAACCGTTAGCATGATGCCACGACTCCAACAAGAACATTATTTCAGAACTATTCATAAATATCTAAGGATCATTCGAGCAGATATGTGATCATACACTCAAACGCACAATAAATACAATACATTTCTTAGACATACACTTTCCATATTCTTTAACCTGATAATAATGATCTTATGCAATCCGTATATATTCTGATATTGAATACATCAATTTAGTCTATGTATATATATACTATACTAGCTTTCCTTAACTTACGTGCTATTCACTTTAATATTATAATGCTAACAGAGCAATTAGTTTACTTCCATAATCCGTGTATCAATTATAATTCAATTTAGTTTGATTGCATTCCTCCCATAAAACTCAAGAACAATTATTCTCGCCTAAATATATAACCTTAGTGACACATCTAACTCCCTATGATTTCATGTCTAATCGCTTTATTTTAATATAGAGTTCCACCAGGTAAGTTAATACTAATTTAATACTAATTTAAATCCATACAGCCCTTTTTAGGCAGTATTCAATCTGTACGCTTAGCAGTCATGTACAGAATACACCCACTTATAAAAATTTAGTGAAATTTGTCCCTCTAGAATACATTATAAGTAGTTCGCTCTTAGTAGTGCTATTTAATAACTCGCACCTAGATCACCATGATTGTGTTTTACTTCTTAAATTCACTGAAAGCTAACAAGACTTCACAAGATCGTATTATTTCCAGTAGATAAGTTGTATCAGATATATAAATACTAATTTAATTCCACATAATCCATTCAGGAGCAACATCCAATATATACGCCCAATAATGCGTATAAAGTACGACGCAGTTATATGGAATTCCAAAAAAAGATTGTTTATGCAGGATGCATCACAGCAATTTAATCGATATAAATGAACTCAATCCAATAGTTTTAAGTAACTCGCACATAACTTATTAAATTACGTCAAATTAAATCATATGTTCCAACAAGCATTAAATTAACGCATGTGCCAGATAATAAATAATGATAAATAATGGTAAATTAAAGTTATAGATTAAATTCCATATAGATTCCACGTAATTTAAATTAATAATAATTATTATACCACTTGCTGATTATCTTTTTATTAGAAAATAACCAATCCAATCGTAAGGGACCACATAAATGCCCCACTCCAAAGTACATCTACTTATTGACGGTTCGATCTCGATATTTCTGCTATATTACAACCAATGTTTCTTTAAATAGGTTTTCCATACAAGTATGATGGGAGCAACATCCATAGGATATTCCGGTTGACAGGATTCACACAAATACAGCTCCGACACCATGTCCATCTAATCTGCGAAAATATCATAGTCAGTATCTCGTATAACAATATATGAATCTGCCTCGTAGAAGCAGGCAATGCAAGAAAATACATAAGCATCAGATAGAGCCATCAATTGTAAATTAATCATATAGTTATGCATGTATGTATACATATATATGTATGTCACACAAAAGAGCATTATATCAAATAGTCAATCAAAATTATGATATTATGATATTATAACAGCAAGTACAATGGTTTCTAGCGAGGAGCAATAACGATTGTTCAATAATGATGATGCGAAATAGATATCCGAGCATGTGTCATGCGTCTCGGAAACGCATACCCATGTGCAGTAGCATCTCACACATCAGTCACTTATAGTAACTTAAACATCGATCCATTCGTCACTATCAACCTCAGAAAACAGTGTTTCCTAAAGTAATCGATAGTAAAACACTAATAAACATCTTAGCCGTCAATTTCTGCTGCCACAGAAATCCAAAACATATCATAATACACTGCACTTATATGAGCCATAAAATACAAGTGTCTAGATAAGCAACCACAGTTGCACCAAAGTCACTAGAATATGCATTTTATATCAAATCAAAATAGGATCTGTAAGAATTGAATATTAACTTTTTGAGGGCAATTAAGAAATAAAGTAAATCACTTGATAAAAAAAACTTAATATAATGTTCTAATAAAATACAATTTTATAACGTCAGGCGAGTCTATTTTACAAAGTTCTCTACAAGCTATCGTTATACCCGATACTTGCCCGAATCACAATTTCCGCGCTATTCCGGCGACAGTTTCTATCTCTATCTATCTACGCCACGCTACTTCGTGGAAGAGATTACTAATGTCCCTTTTTACGCTTCTCCAAAAATTTCCCGCGAACTCTCTCTCTCCGTCTCGTGCTCTCGGTATTCATAGGCCCCTCAAGCCTGATTCGCACTTTTGAGGCCCGTTCTCAATACTGGCGGCACCCCGTGCTGACCAATCTCTTTGCCTCTCCCTCTCTGCCTCTTACAGATCATATAATTAACTAATTAATACTACTTCACTTCTTGTCCACATATATGGGTATAGCCTAACCTCAAATTCGAGGCATATACTATCACATAAATCAATAAATTATTAATCTGTAATAGATGCCCATGACTATCACTGCAATAACTTATGGCACCTCCAATAATTATATCAAATTAAATGCCCGGTATAAGCAAATTTTCCTTGCTGGAAATTGTAACCAGACATTATACAAGTTATATATTAATCTTCAACATACAAGTAGTGTGATAGTTTATTACAAAAACTCCTTTGATAATAGTAGTAATCCGTATGTTGTTAACTCGTTGTATCAATCACTTAAGTTAATTTAAACTATTATTGCAAATGCAACGGTCATCTGGAAGGAAAGGGTTAAATACAGCTGTCCAAGATATACTCTCTATGGGCTTAACCACCGCTAATTCAGTACTCTAGATGGGCGACCATGGCGTCCCATAGGCACCCACATACAGCACATCATAGCATAAGTCACTTTCATGATAAATTATAATAATAATTGCAGCAAATTTGCATGTCACCTATCTTGACTATAGGCATGTGCGCATGCGCTGGAGTAATCCACGCGTAGCACATTTATCACAATATATAATAAAATATACATATATGTGAATAAAAAAGACACAATTAGCCTCAACCATATCCAATAAAGTTAATATTTAATAATAATTCACTTCAGAGTTATATGTTCTGCGTCTGAAGACAGCAGAGCATCTTAACCTCACTTTGTGCAGCGAGTAGTTTATTTCAAAGATGTTTGATCAAAATAGTCAGATGAGAGAAAACTTCACCAAAATCAGTAGTAGTCAGCTCGCAGAACTCAGTTATGTCCTTATTTCCATCCTTGGGAGCCAAAACAGTCCAAATAAAGCGGCTTATAACAGAGCTGCACAGAGGCACGTCCGTCCTGCTCCGTAGCCACGAGAGACTCCCCGGGGGGGAGCACCCCCCTGGCCAGTTGCCCCACTGGGCTAACGAGCCTGGCCGCCCGTGCACGGAATGGAGATAAAAATCTTTCCCTAACGGTGCCGTGCCACCGGAAGTTTGAAGTCGTAGTCCCCATCTCCTACCGGCGATTGGGCAAGCCCTAAGGGAGTCGCCGGGCTCCCTGTTCCCCCATAGGAGGAACTGTGCGCTCTTAGCACCGCAGAAACACCTTTTCAGGTATTCCCCCGGTGAGCCCTCTCACCACGACAAGGTGGCGCACAACGAGAGGG